CTTTTTGTAGTTCTTGAAGTCTAGTATCGCCCCTATAAATACCTCTCTCTATTTACGGGACATCCTGTATAATGTAGATATTTATTTCCTTTAAACGTTGAGAAGCAGTTAAAATTCACTTAATTAATTTTACTCAAACGTTTTAAATTATTTAATCATTTTCTTCAATACATACATTGAATTTCCCTCACGTACCAACAGAGTTATGTATGAAGACTGTTCATATATGGCACCTCCGCTCACAGAGGATTACCTTTGCGGTCCTTACAGACGGCCCGGCATATTAACTAATAAGTTCTTCGAGACGGATGTCCAGAGGACTCTAAATGCAGAACCTTCTTTAGGGTACGTGCGTACGTTGGCCCAGCGCGAGAGTGCAGTTATACGGAACAGAATAGCAGGCATCAGGCATTCATAGCGGTGATCGAACCTGAGTCAGTCCTTACCTTTACTGGAGCCTTTATTTGGGCTGCATGGCGCTAAGACGTGTCCAGACTATAATATTTCAATAAGTTTTAATATTTTTAAACTAGTTGGCTCGTGCGAATAATTCGCAGTAAATTTAGTGAAGGAATAGCAAAACAACATGGAAATAAGTAGATCTTATGTATTATGTAAATGAAGAATTAATTATTTTTCCTTGGTCGATTACAAAGTTCATTTAACGTAACAGACCAAAATATTTGTACGAAATAGAGAGAGGTAAAAGGGCGATACAAGACTTAAAGAACTACAAAAAGTTCGTATAAACAATTGTCTAATTTTCAGATGAAAAGTAGCATTTTTTTTTTTTTTTTTGTCTTCGTATTTCCATCCACATCTGTCATGAGCTTGACAATAAGCAGATGTGCTGTAACTAATAGGAAAAATTGACATTTTAGGCATGAGGAAAAAAATAGTACCCAGCAGCACTTCTTCCTTGTCTTGATTTATTTCCTTAATTCAAGAAATGAGATCTCTCATCCAGCTCCTCTTTAGTTGTCTGATAGGCCAAGCTGACGAGCTGTGGCCATCTCGTTAATAAACCGTTGTGATGTCCGTGTAGTTTAAGATGAAATCTGAATTAGAGATCGCGTATGTGTTTGTCGATAGTTGAATATCCTAAGTCGTTATGTAAATTTTTGTTTTTTACGTACCAGGGAGCTGTTATTATAGTCTTAAAATTTTGGATTGAAATGATTGTAATTTTGTAAATGCGTCTTTTTTGTAAAATTTGAAAGGAGTACGTCCATATGGGTTTAAGTAGATCAGTGTATGTGTTTAGTTTTTGTCTGATTATCAGTTTTGATTAAGTTAACATTCAAAATAAAGCCTGGAGCATTTTATAAATTATTAAAAAATATAAAATGTACGAACGAAAAAAAAAATGCTTTTAAGAAATACTAAAGTTGATATATCAGCTGGAAAAAAAAGAGTAGTAGAATATTAAATACAGTATATTAAAATAAGAAGAAATTGTTACGAATACCAAAACCAATGGACTATATCTTTGTTAATTTTTATTGTTTTGTAAATAATTTAGTAATTTTTCTGATTCCAATGGGTACAATCCAGAAAAAAATATATAATTTTTTAGTTATTCGCAAATTAATTTTCTTTACCTTCATAACTTTTTCCCTTAAATTTCGGGGAGGTTTGATTATTTTTCCAACCTGAAGATGAAGAAGATCTTTAAAATGAGGGCTCAATCATTCGATATGTTGAAGAATTGACGAATCTATGGCGAAACAATTTTAGAAATAATATATAAGATTATTCATATTTTTTATTTCGCTAAATATTTAATAGCAATGATACCAATTAAAATCTAAATGACATAAAGAATATAATAAATTTTTAAACGAGAATAATTTTAAGTTGATTTTCCTTTAACGTTACTCTACCTCCACTAACTCAAAATTTCATTTTAATGATATTTATAGTATTTACGATCCTCCCCCCCCCCACAAAAAATGCATCAGGGTGAACGTACCAGTAATGGGCAGGAAGCCAGTGATAGATAGATTGGGCATTAAATGTAAATAATAAGCTTCATTTTTTATTTAAATGTTCCATTTTTTTCTAGACTGAAGAACAATACTCTATTGGCAACAGTATGAACAAAGTTTCCAACATAAAATTTTAAAATGGCTATCATTGTTGTTTTTATGGTGCTTTCGAGATTAGTGTGTTTCATACTCTCCTTCTAGCAGTTTTGCTAAGATTAAGTTAAACATTTATGTTATGTTATCTTTATAGTTAAATAAAGATTTTAGAATTTTTCTGAGGTATGTCTATTACTGGTACCGACCTCCAGTAAATTACTAGAAGTATTGAATAGGGAGTTGTCCATCACTAGTACAAAAAGGTATTTTATTAAAATGAGAATTGTACCTGCACAACTGAATATTTTTTTCAATTTTAAAGTGTTAATTAGAAAAAGGAGACCTTAGAGATTCTAAATGTCCAACCGAGATTCTAAATGTATAACTATAATAAGCAAAAAAATTTCCTTAGTCATATCCTTCACTGGTGCGCTTTTATCCTAATTGAGGAACACGAGGTGAAAATGACCCAGTTCGATTTCCAAATATAATTTGCAACCATTTTGCAAGAGTTAAGTCAGCAGTTGATTGAATAATAATTATTTGAATAGCACTATTCGTTAGAAACTATTTTGACTGACATAGAATACTCGAGAATACTGATGGATTCCACAAACTGAACAAACTTTCCAAAACTGATATAGCAATGGTGATTAATCATTCCAGCAAATTTCAGAGGTCGGGAGTTTGACCCTCGCTTATCGACAAGAAACACAATAAAAAAAACTTTAATCTTTTTATTTTTATTTCGGAACTGGTTTAATTATTATTATTATTATTTATCCAGTTTGAAGAGTAATTAAATTATCTCAACGTTAGAAACAATATGAAGTACGTTGTGTTAGAAAGAAAAATAGTAGCAGTAAGGATATTTAATTTATTTATACGATTAATATGACAAAAATTAAACTTTAGCTTTAAAACGAAATGCGAGCTAGATAAGCTCCAACATCTAGGTTCTACTATGCTCATTTTTTTGTATTTTAAATTATTTTCTTGGTGTTAAATAGAGAAAGAACAGCTGTACAAAATTATTATCCGATGGTTTATTATTTTCAAAAAGTTATAAATTCAATATGTAGAGCATATCTCCTCAAACGGCTTTCTCTATCTCCTAGGAAAACATCTTTTTTGCTAAGATTAGGTCGTTTTAAAATTTTTACTTATTAGAATTTCTTTTATTAGCTATGTAGATTATAATAATAATTGTCAAATCAGAATTAGGACAATATGGGTAGATTGATAGACATGAGATATCAAAAAATAATAAAGATCGAATTTACAAAACTAAAAATATATCTTTGTGAAAAATGATCCGATTTCAATTATATTTTGTTGTTTAGGAAAAAAAAACCTTAATTTCCATAATATGGACACTTTTTGAGCTATTCGCAATTATAAGATTGTGATCGTGTTTTTAAAAATTGTACAATCGTGTTCTAGGGATCCTAAAAAAAAAAGAAAAAAAAAATCCCCCGCCTTCCACAGACGACTTTCGATTACATTATTAATCGAATCCATTTAAAAGTTGTATTTTAACTATTCCTGAAAAGCGTTTTGAAAACAAAAGTTCGAAGAACAAAAGAGCTTTGTGTGATAAATTTGTAGGTTAATGCAAAAGTTTAACTTTCATTTGTTTGAGTTCATAAAAAAAAATTAGGTTCGATGAGAAATAAACAGAAATGTGCTATAATTAGACTTATCGTTCATCTTAAATGAATTACTTGATTCCTAATGTGTCATTAGTTTACGTGGCTAAGAATTTTAGATAATATTTAGATCAAATTTTTGACAAAATTAACAGAACTGTTAAATAAAAGTTCTGAAATAACATTTAAAAAATCGAAAATAATGCTTCCAGTCATACCAAAACTGATTTAACTGATTTGAAAATTAAAACTAAAATTTCATAACAACCATTGATTTCTACTATGTAAGTACTAAGGAAAACATCGAAATTATACAATATATATTAATATAGATATGAAGTATACTGTTTTTATAACAACTAAAATAGTAAGGTAATGCATCTTATTTTTAAGTATATATCAGTCTATTTTTTTTGAAAAGTTAAATTTATGATATCTAAAGTTAATTGAAATTTTGAAAAAAAAAAAAAAACAGTTTTTTTTTATACATAAAATGCATGAACATTTATACAAAAAAATGTAACATTTATACATGTTATACATGAAAAAAAAAAATTTCATGTATATATCATCTTTATGTATATAGCATGTATGTACATTCTTATGAACTTTACACATATAATTTATAAATTATATTTAAAAATTAATATATTCACTTTTGTACTTAATAACTAAGAACTATATTTGGTATAACTGTAAGTGTCTATAATAAGTTCGAACCATGGAAACACAATCGATGCCTGGCGTCCCTGAGAGTTTTTCTGGATAGATTTTAGGAACAATATAGTCTATTGAAAATAAAGAGACCTTTATTGTAAATAGACGAAAATAAATATTAAATAAAGGGAACATAAAAATAAATTAAAACAGCCAGAAGTGTTAGATACCAAAAACAAATTTTTAAGTTACTGAAATATCAGCACTTATAGAATTATTAAAATTTATGTATGAGTGTGCTTTAAATAATTAGTCTCAATTTGGTTGGTATTTTTTTCAGTATGTTGGTTTGAGATTGGTTTTATGTTAACATTAATGCAACTTCATTATGTTCAGTCCTGATATTGCCTGTATTGGAGAAATGTAAGCTTTTTATTTATTTACTGCTATGTGAGAAAATTTATATTGAAATGAAAGTTCTCATACGGTTTAGAGAAAAAGAAAATTCACATAATATAAATATTAGACAAACATTATAATATTCCAAAGCATTTCTTGTATACAAAATATTCGAAATGAAAAGTAAGTTTGATAAATAAAAGTCTCTTACCTTGAAGAATATTTCTACGGATAAAGAAGCAAAATGTAATCCGTTAGATAGGAATATCAGTCCAATGGGAATCTAAGAACAATACAAATATAAATAAGTTAAAAGAAACGAAGAAGCATATTAAAAAGATAGCATCAAGGAATAGAGGTCATGAGAACTTAATAAAATTATCAACGCATTTTCTTTTTTTTTTTAATTAAAACATTTTTTATAGAGTAAAATTACAATTTTTCACAATTAAGGACTTTATTAACAGTGATAGATCAACTCATTTATAGTCTAAGTACAATAAATAAAAACAATAATAATACTAAAAATAAATAAACATATAAAAACAAAAACTTAAATAACTTAAATACAGACATACTTATACACAATATTTACAAACATTTATTCAGGAGAACTCCGAACCAAAAGTTTCTCTCTGAAAAGTGGAGAAAAAAGCTGAATTCTACGAGATCTCAGCGCCTCTCTAATTCTCACCAATTCACTAAAATTCTAAGTCTTGTGAATAAGTAATGCTCATCCATTTAAATATGTGGGGTTGCCTTTTTAGCAATGTCAAGAATTTTTCATTATACAGAAAGGAAAAGATAATGAAAATTGTCACTTGTATCTAATATATTTTTTGTTTGTTTTCATGCGTGCTAACAACTTATAAGCTTTTAGAAGTCATATATGTATATGTATTTGTTCTTAGTTTTATTTATATTTATTTATAGTGCTAATACTTTAATTTTATTTATTATTATCATTTTGTTAAATGTTAATCTATACTATGTTTTGTATTTTCATTTAATTATTTATTTTTTTATTTAAATTATTTTATAATCTGGTTATACTTTCATGTACTCAACATTATTTTCGTTTAAGTAAATGCACAGTTTTACATAATTTCATGATAAATTTAGTTAATTTAAATTTTTTTCTAAAGTAAATTTATCCACTTTTAAGATATTTTATTTAAATGTTTATATTCACACAAAATCTCTTTTTTTAAATTTATTTATGATATTTACAACTGTATTAAGAAAAAAATGCATTCAGTAAATGTGATAAAAGAAAATAATAACATGTAAAAACCTACTGTTAGCGCTCTATAAAAACTCTTGAAAATTTAAAATTCACTTATTTAAATTTAGATAATTCTTTAATTATACACAATAATAATTTATTAACAATTTTATATATAGCTTTAGTTTTTAATTTTGGTTTCATTTTTTAGTTTTTCTTTTAGTTACTTTCTTTTTAATTTTTGCGCACAAAAAAACAAAACTTGACTAAAATATAAACCAAACATGTATACCTATACACGGAAATTGGATGCTAGAGAAAAAAAAAATTCTTTAGAGGTAAGACTTTTAGGATTACATATTTTTTTTACACAAATTTCTTAAGATTTAATAAAATTAAATTTCATTACAAAACTCATAGAGAAATAAATTTATTTATATCACACAAATAATTATAATATTTCATTATGAATAGTTGGTTTGCTTTAAAATTTATTTATAGTAATTTATGATTTATGCAATATAACAAATAAATGTAAACAACTCATATTATATACAATAAACTAGTGAAGGAACAATCTATAAGTAATTCAATAAATACTCAATTAATTTAGAGGTCTTGTTGACATCTTTTTAAAAGCATCGGATTGTAACTGATTAAAGATTACAAATGTCATTATAGTTAATTCCAAATTACACTGGAAGGTGATATAGTCCCTGGAGTCTGGAGAATTAGGCAATGTTTACCCAGTTCCTGGAAGGGACAGAACAGTACATGTCATGGCTATTGCACGCTACTCATTAGTAACTAGATCAATAGCAGTGGCCTGTAATTTACAATCTAACACACTATCCAATATAGTTACTGTTACTGTAACCGGTTATTATTAAATGATACTCTTGTAACTGGAAGTTTTAGTCGATCCTTTGTAAATTGTCTCTTTATTGAGCTAAGCCAAAATAAATAAATAAAACGTATTTAATAGCGAACGCAAAACCTGAAAATATAGCGAAAATAAAGAGAAGTTAATTTTTAATATAGCTTTGGCGCCGTAAACCTATGAAGTCCTGTCCTACAGTATTCTTTAATAATAACCCACTTATCTCTGTTGAACAAACCCGTTACCTTGGACAAACTTCTAACTTGGAATCCTCATACTAGACAAACGCTCTAAGCTTCCAGTTAAATACAAAAGACTCAAACACATGACTACAATAAGACCTATTTGGACTTACGGAGTTGAACTTTGGAGCTTCACTAAACCATCGAATTCCTCTCGTATCCAATCCTTACAAATCAAAATCATTCGTAAAATCCTCACTGCTCCTTACTTTGCCATAGATAAAATCATCCATAAAGACTTAAATGTTCCTTATATTTCTGACCTGGACCAATCCAGTTACCTATCCATTCATAACAAACTTCAGAACCATCAAAAACCTCTCGTTTCTAGTCTTGCTTTCTTCTCGATCTCTGATAACTGAAAAGATGAAGGCCTCGAGATTTCCTGTTGCAAATACATTTTTAGAGTGTAGTAGTTTCATGTCATTATATTCTTGTGTTCACATTTACTGAATGTATTTTTATTTCTAATACAATCGTAAATATCATAAATAATTAAAAAAATTGAATAGAATAGAAAAATAATTTTATTCTGGGGCGAAGTCCCTTCAGAATAACAAAAAAGTACAGAAATTAAAATTTTATATCTGGCCAGATAAAAACAAACATAAAAAGTTAAGGTGAAGATAGAGCATTAAAAAAAAAAAGAAAAAAAAAATATTGGTTATACATACTATATACAAAATAAAAAAAAATCTATATAAAAAACTCTTGAAACCATACTAAGATACTTAAAACTATGTACAATGTTAAAATATAAATAAACCCTTTTAGAAAAAATAAAAAATACAGAAAAAATAAATGTAAATTCTTCTTAACAGTAAAATCTGTTTCTGTTGAAAAAAAAAAAGAAAAAAGAAAGTCGAATTTAGTATTTAGGTTATGAGCCATATGTGAATATGTTATTATAAATAATATGTAATTTTACATAAAAGGATAGCTGGTATCTGACTGTTTTTGGGACAGGAATTGGAATAGGAGGGTTTTGAATGTAGATAAGGATGAAGAATGTCGAATTTTGATAGGAAGGGAATTCCAGAAATTAATGGAGCGAGCAATAAAGGAGTTTTGGAACGAGACAGATCTGTGAGAAGGAATGTAAAGGTCGTAAGGTCGAGATCTTGTGGAGAGGGAGTGGACTGAGGACTTGAATTGGAGAAGGTTGTAGGCGTAGGAAGGACGATGATTGTTGATGATATGATAGAGGAATGTACTTAGGAAATATTGTCTTCGAATGGAGGGGAAGAGCCACTCTAACTCAGTGTAGGGGTGAGAGACATGGTAGTATATCGGAGCACCAATTACAAATCTCACGCAACTGTTCATTAATCTTTTCAGTCTGTCGCGGAGCTCCACCGAGAGTCCATCATAAATATACATATAGTTTTGGATGATACCGACCTACAACACAATACTGAATCCTATTTCGACTTACGGAATAGAACTGTGGGGAACAGCAAAATTTTCTAACATCAAACGCTTCCACTCAAAACTCCTTCGAACAATAGTCGATGGTCCTTTCAATGTAGCCAACAAAACCTATATCATGAGCTCAATATCCCATTTATCGTAGACCTTATCCCAGAAAAATTCTCCAAATTTCACCAGAATCTTACGTATCATCCAAATCCTCTATAATCCTCCAAGAAGGTTGAAACGATAGTGGCTCCGCGCCCTTTTGTAGATTGTGTATATATTGGAGTTCTGGTCATGGCAATTCTGGCAATAGCCAGATTCTCCATTCAAAAAATGAGTGTATGTGGCTGAAGTGCTCTCGTTCAATCTGTATCTACCAAAAATCTATCCTTTAATAATTTTTTTTTTTTTTTAAGATTATTGAAACTTGATGGAATTTTTAATTATATCCGAACTCATTATCTATCAGCTCTAGAGATAGAATTGGTGACTTGATAAAAGCTATTTAATATACTAGATATCGACAGTGGAGCTTAGCCCGTATTGTTCCCTTAATCCGACCCGCGGACAATAGGGTCCCACTACAATAGTGTGGTCCGAGGTGGTCGAAGAAAATTAGTTGTCGCTTCTAGCCTATACCCCTCCCAAAGAAGAGGAGTTAGCGATGCCTTCAGTTTTTAAACTACCAGTACCTATTGTTAATAATAATAATAATAAAATATGGTGTGTCCACTCACATGACATTCCTACCTATTTCAGCAAAATTTTGAAATCTTTAAATGTGTCCATTAAGAAACGGAACTAATTAAATTTGATTTTTTTTCCTGAAAACAATTTAGATCAAAGAAAAGAATTTAGTACGATTTCTTTATTTTAAAAAATCAAAGTAAACCAGCATGTGGAAGATCACGTAAAAAAATCAATACACTCTAATATTGATAATCAACAACTTTTTGTCATATCCCAAATCTGTAAGACAATAATCTCTGTTAAAAAAGAGGAAATAGTAAAACTTGTATGATGCGGGCACCAGATTTCTTTATTTTCACTTACTTTTCTTTTTTTTTCCTCTCTTCCACCCCTTTCTGGCACCGGAATATGAACCCATAACCTTAAGGATAATCTTGGCACAGGAAGACGTAAAACAGACAGACAGAACAATGGTTGAAAATGTGTTTTTCAGATTCAGGGGACTCTGAAACGAAAACCGCACATCGGAAATTTGACTCGATCGCAATACTTTCCTTACCTAGTACTAGTTCATGGCACAGACACCTTTTGATGAAATTATTAACAAAGTTCGTAACTGAAACTTTGTAAATAGCTTCATCTCATCGTAACCTACTTTATTTTAATTACGATTATATTTTAATTACAAAATTCTCGGAATCGGGGCGTTTTCAATCTGGAGGTCGGCAAACTTTATTTGTTTAATTAGGTACTAAAGACTCGTAAATACCCATTTGCTTCCTACTTTAGACGTAAGATAACTTGAGCAAAAAGGTAGGCTTG